GGATTAGCTAAAATTAAAGACCGGGAGCAGCCACTTGAAATTTTCTCTGGATTTGAGAGGAGTAAAAGGAAACATATTAGTAGCTGGAAAGTAGGTTAGTTATGGCATCAAGCTATGATAACATGGTATGTTTATCTAGTTTATGGTGTTAATTGTTTTGAGAATTAGATCTCAGATTTGCTAGACAGAGTGCTGCTGTTCTTATAGAATGCTAAAGTCATTGTCAGCTATAGTCCAGTTTTGATACTCGGTCCACTGTTAAAGCAACTCTGGGTTAATGACTTCTTAATAGCAAAACCCCCAAAGTCTCACCGTCTATAGAATTTTCACTGACTATTCTCTACTTGAAAGTTTTATTACCCTCAACTTTGGGACCCCACACTCTCCTCATGCGGCCACCTCTTTCATTGACGCTTCTTAGTCTATTTTTGTTTTGTTTTGTTTTTTTTCTTTGCTCATCCTCTTGATTTGAGGCTTTCTTAAAGTTTTAGTACCTTGTTCTACATGTTCTCCGTCGCCTGTTTCATGTAGCCCACCACGTCACATTGCTGATGCTCAGGTCCAAGTCTCCAGTCTGACCTGCAGAGTTGAATTTTCAGTTGTCTGCACCACTCACTACATTCAAAACTGCACTCATTATTTTCTATCTGTATTTCTTATTTATTGACATTGCCAATCACCTCGTGCCTCCTCTCTATCCAGTTGCTGTCTAGACCAGCGGTTCTCAACCTGTGGGTCGCGACTCCTTTGGGGGTTGAACAACCCTTTTACAGGGGTCGCCTAAGACCATCGGAAAACAAAAAGATATTTACATGATGATTCATAACAGTAGCAAAATTACAGTTATGGAGTAGCAAAGAAAATAATTTTATGGTTGGGGGTCACCACAACATGAGGAACTGTATTAAGGGGTCGCGGCATTAGGAAGGTTGAGAACTGCTAGTCTAGACTGTCTGTTCCGCCTATGAAATCCCTCCCTTTCCCTTTGTTCCACCTGCCACAACCTCAACGTAGGTCGCTAATTGGGACTGCTATAATTGATTCCAAACTGTGTTCTTTGGTTCCAGGGAGAGGGGTGAATGAGTGTAAATTTTTTTTTTTACCTTAAAACAAGCATTATTTGAAAGTCAGCTTTTTCATCTATGTGCAAAAAGTAATTCTTTTTAAAAGTTTACAACTTTCCTATGTAGTATTCATGTTCACTTGTAAAAGTAGGACTAGAAATCATTATAGCTATAGAAAGCCAGTCTATGATCACTTTCATCTTTTTGCTTCACTAAAGGGTCTTTTCTCATTTTTGTGATTATCTGCAGGAGAACAGGATAAATGAGCTTATAAGATTATAAGGAAAGTTCTGGGAAAGTATAACGATAGAGAATATAAACTATAAGTTATAAAATATAGCCTACCCACTCAATCTGTTGAAGGTTAATTGTCTTTAAAACTTGCTATTCTATAAAGCTAAAGATTAAATGTTCACAGATAAAATGTCAATAAAAAAGGGGTTTCCTATTTTAACAAGAAAAATTAATAATGATGAATCCAAATCAACTTTATCTTGCCCTCTTACTTGAGACAAAATTTATTTCTAAAGGTGTGATGATTAGGTTGAATAATTTTTTCCTGGATTTTGTCTTTACAACGATAGATATATATTATAGTAGATATTGTTATAGCTCAATAACAGTAGTATATAATTGGAAAATAAGCCAAGTACAGTGGTTGTATAAATTGTTGGCTTTAAGTTCTATTACCTGAGGTCTAAAATTTTCTGCCTCTGAATGCTAGATGTAAAAGAGTCAAAAGTGGTATCCAGGTCCTAAGGATAATATTTCTTTAAAAAAAAAAAAAGTCTGTAAAACTATTTCCCAGAAGCAAAGTGCTTAGCACAATTTGATAAGCACTTTTCCACTCTTGGCAAAACTGATCTCTGTTGCCTCAAACCTCCTCTCAGAGAATTCTTGATTCTCTGAAATTATTTTTGTAACAATCTACCTTTTTAATTCATTAATTAAAAAAATTTTTTGAGCCTTTACTAAATGCCGAACACCACAGTGAAGATTATGAGCATATGCGTCACCCCTGTACATCCAGAAAAATATCAGGGTGTTTGTACATGTGTGTGAGTGTGTTGTGTGTGTGTGTGTGTGTTATTTTAGTATATTATGTTTTATTATACAATATTTCAAGCATATAAAATATATATATATATATATATATATATATATATATAATCGGGGTTCCCTGTTAATGGCAGAATGAAGTGGTTGAATGAACCTTCCCAGAAAACAAAATTACGAAATCTAGACATACTATTTGAAGGCCATAGAAAGTGATCAAAAGTAGGTAAAAACTAGAGTTTACCCTTAAAGACCATAACTACAATGGGTAAGAATTGCAACTTTTATGGCATTTTTGCCTGAGGGAGTTCCCCAATCCCTGGATCTCATGTGGCAGAAAACCTATAGTTTTACCAGCTTGAGGTGGCAGAGGTCAGAAGTCTGGCAAAAAAACCCCCAAAAAAACAGATTTGTGAGAGGGGCTATACTTTAAAGACAAAACACCAGCTAAAATCTGTGAGTTTTTGCTTTTTTGACTAAGTACCTTGTGTCTTGTGCATAGCTATAGTGGCAGAATGTTTCGTTTTATTGGTTTGAATGATCAGATAAACAGAATTTGGACCTGACAGAGCAGGTGGAAGTTTATGGGGAAATCTCAGATGTAAGAGAACTGCAGAGAAGATGAGCCCCAGAATCTGGGTATTAATTCTGCTCAACTCTTTGGCTGTCCATTAAACTACACAGGTACAAAAGAGATCCCCAAAGGGCTAGGGTAAAAAGCATTAGTTAGTAGGTGAGAACCAATCAGGGATATTGGCTGCTGAACACTGAGGGAGAGAGACAAGAGACTGTAATTTGAGTCTATGCAAATTCATTGCTCCTTACAAGGGAAATCCAGTAATCCTCAGAAGAGCACAACATTATTCAGTCATCATACACAATATTATACTGTCTAATTGTCAACCAAAAATCACTGTGGAAAGAAACACAAAAGTGTGATTTATATTCAGGAAAAGTGTGATTCATATTTAGTCAGTCATTGGAAAGTGACTCACAATGGGCCCAGATGTTGGATTTAAGAAAATCTTTCAAAGCAACTAATATAAATGTGTTCAGAGAACTAAAGAAAAAAATGTTCAAAGAATTAAACAAACATGTCTTGATGAGTGAACAGATGGGGAATCTTAAAAGAGTAATGGAAACTGTAAAAAAAGAATCAAATGTACCACATTGGTGACATCAGAAGAAAGAATTTGTGAACTTGAAGATAGATTGATAGAAATTCTCTAACATGAAGAACTGAGCGGAAAAAAAAAAGATTGACGTTAAACATATATATGTGGCATATATATGCTAAATATGATAAAATTTTAATATTTGACAAAGCCAGGCAGTGGGAATATAAATGCTTGTTACCGTTTTTAAAGTAGTTGCTGCTGTATGAAATTATCTACTCATTTTAAAAAATTAACTTTGTTGAAGTATTTTGATAGGGATTGCATTGAATCTGTAGATTGCTTTAGGTAATGTGGACATTTTAACAATGTTAATTCTTCCAGCCCATGAACACCGAATATCTTTCCATTTCTTTGTTTCTTCTTTAATGTCTTTAACAATGTCTTGTAGTTTCCAGTGTCTCATACCTATTTCTTGGACACTAAACCTGAGATAGGTTTACTCATTTGAGCAAAGACCCAAGTTACCAGAGGTACAAACACAAATTGCATCAATAATTTCGATTTCCAGGCTTAGGAAAGAAGTATACAAATAAAGACAGCATGAATAATTATCCAAAACATTGAGAAATCTTAATATTTGCATTTGCTGGATACTTTGAGGCTATAGTCCAGAGTGAGGTTAGAGAATAGAATCTGTTTTCTAGATTGATACAGGAAATGTTGATGTAGTACTTAACCTAATGGTCTGAAGCCAATGAGCTAAACTCTAGTTTATCCATGGTTAAAAATACCCATAAATAATAACTCATCTATTTCCCCCTTTACCCATTCACCTATCTTCTATGGCCAAGTAGATGATGAATAATTGAGACCCAGCTCAGTATAGTATATATATATATTTTTTAGCTGAGCCATCCTGCTACCTGTTGGCAGCTCAGCGGCTGCTCAGCTCGGGCTGGACTCGAACCGCTGTTGCTCAGAGCTCAAACTCTTGAGCGAGCTCTTAACCAACTGAGCCACTTGGCCGGCCCTTCAGTATAGTATTTTTAATAATGATTGCTCATTATTTTTCAAAATACTGCATTAGAAAACACTTGCCAGATTTGGATATACAGTTTTTGAATCCTAAGTGGCGGGAAGTATGATTTAGCCTACCACAATTGAATATGTGACTAATAATATTATTTTTTGGAGAGTGTTCTTCCATTTAGTAGAAAGATGTATAAACTTTAATAGTGAGATACATGATCAAACTTCATATGTGAACTGAATGAATTATTTATTGATAACAGTTTTAGTCATGAGTCAATGCAAATTATGTACCTATGAATGATTTGTTTATATCTGGGTTCTTTAGTCAGTGTCTTCCAATGGCATTAGTTTCATGATGTGGAACTAATGCCAGCGGCTTAAAATTAGGTATTTATGTATACTGGGCCTCAAGACACAGAATTTGGTATGTTAGGATGACACTTGATGGTGTTAGTTGTAAAATAACATCAGTGGGCAGGTGGATAGTACTAACTAGTCCGCTAGTTCTTGTCATCTAATAATTATGCAAAAACAATTTCTGAAACATCTCAAGCAAGCTGAATGTGAAATACGAGACTGGTAGTGAATTCCGAATTATGTTTAAAGTGCAATGTGAGCTCATCACATTTAGTAAAGAATTATCTTTGGGTTTAAGACTTCACGTGCTGTTTAAACAGAATAGAGAACTTATATATTATTCAGTGATACATGAAAATATCCCCCTTAACAGGTAAATATTGGGAAGATGGATTCACCCATTGAAAAGTGGAACCTAATAATTGGCAACTTGGCTTTAAAACAGGTAAGTGATTCACATATTTGTTTAGAGATCTTGGGTGTTACCTGTAAGAATGGAGTAGATTTTAGTGCTATTAAGCCTACCACTTAATTATTTCAGGAGACCCAAAACAATTTAGTACTGTGACAAAGTGATAAAATAAATGGATACCCATGATTTCTGAAAGCTTACTTCATCTAGAAACTGATCACAATCTTCTAAACATGAAAAGAATATAATATACAAAATATTTTCTATTATAAGTGTGTAATACAGCCAGAATTTGAATTAATATCTGTATAAATCAATATTTAACATTTCATTGCTTAGGTGCTATTTTTCTACTTTGATTTTTTTATGTAAATCCTCTAATTAAACTTAGCTCTTTTTTATATATAATGGTCAGATGTTTATTTAAGCTAAGTTTTCCTTAATTTGTCAGTGTTGCTGGTGTTAATGTAAATAAATACATCAAATTGTCAGCTACATATGCACTAAACTGTGGATTATATATAGATTACAGTTCTTTCTAAATTCATGTGACTATTTCTCCCTCTCCCACCACCTTCTTGGTATCCATCCCCAAGACAAGACTTCGGCCCCCTAGTAACTCTACAAGTGTGAGCTGAAAATAAATGAGGAAATGCTCATTTATTTTAATGAGAAGATGGTTGCAGAAAAGAAATTTCATATAGTGCATTTCAAAGGCAAAGAAATAAGGGAACTTTTGGAATATAGGCTTTTTAAAAAATATCTGTACAGCTGCTTTTAAAATCACAGGGTTAGAAATAAGAAAATCTGGCATCTAGGCTTAGCTTTAACATTAACCAGCTGCATAACCTTTGTTAACTTGAGCTTTCTGGGCTTCCTTTTTCTCTTCTTCTCAGTCGCAGTCTTGCATTAGAGCCGCCTATGACCCTTTTCAGCTTGAAACTGTAGGAACCTGTGCAGGGGTAATAATCAAAATAGATACCGACCAGTAGATGACTATAAATTAATCTATAAATAAAAATTGTTTAATATATTATTCCATTTTATCTTTTAAATATCCTAAACTTTTACCAAGTAATATAAATTATTCGTCAAATCATTCTAATAATTTCCATCTCAGCTTTTAATTTTCCCTTCCACTCTTAGTCTCAGCCCTTCCCTTCTAATCCTTTCTCCCTGCACCTGTTGGTGAAGAGGGAGCCAGAGATGGCTGGGGGCTCACGGATCCTCTGCTGTGGCCTGAAGTCTGTGTCTGGCTGTCCCACTCCCCCAAGGATGCATGAGAAACAGGGCTCCCCACACAGGGCCATCAGGACACAGTTTGTTCCAGCCAGTGAGACAGCAAGTGGTTGGAGCCCGGTTACCCATGGACAATAGCAGAAGGGAGAAGAAAAGGTGGAGGGGTGGGCGGAGGGAGCTGCTCTGAGGCTTCATCTGCTAAACCCTGTGAAGAAGGGGATGAGCGCAGGGCTAGCAAAAGCCCTTCTGACCACAGGTGGGCGGAGGAGGGTAGAGGTGGGGGAGGTGGGCAGCACAGAGGGGGCACATGTTCTCATTAGCTGGGGTGTGTGCTTTCCTGACTGTTAAACGAGATCCAAAGCAGATTACCTGCTGCAGATTTCCCACACCTGTGCAGGGTGGTGTGTAAATGGTCAAATAAAGCACAGTTTCCGATCCCATTGAAGAGCCATTACCTCACCAGGAGGGATGTGCCCCCCACTCACATCTGGTTAGGCCTGTGGCCCCCATGAGCCCGCCAGCTTCTCCTTGACCCGAACTTTGCTCTTCTCCAGCACAATTAGGCATTTCTTCTGCAGGTTCAGAGTAGGACTTCCTCATTTCAGCTGTGTGCTGCCATCGGCTCCCTAGCTCTGTGTTTCATTTCCAAGCGATAAAAACTGTGTAAAATCCAGAGCTCCCTAGTTCTGTGTTTTATTTTCAAGAAAACCCTTGGAACCACAGTGCTAGAATTTACATTATTAATTAATCGTACTGCTTTTACATATGCATATTATTTACTAACCAGTGTGAAAATGCTGACATGTTAACAATCGGTACAGCCACAGTGATGCTGACAGCTTCCAGCTCCGCTCTGAACCTGCGGGCGACATCCACAGGAGCTGTAATGAAAGATAATGGGGCCAGAGCCTGAGCTGTGTGGACTCGCTAACCCTGGCTCTTCCATTAAGTTACTGTGTGACAGGATTAGACTATTTGGGTTTTTCTACCCAGAGCCCTTGATTCCAGTACATGGATTGGCTTCAGAGAATCTGTGAGCACTCAGAAATCCTACCTAAAATATTGATTGCATCTGTGTTTTCATAGAGAACAGGATCTGTCTCAAATTTTCTCCAGATTGTCAAAGGAATCCATGACACAAACAATTCAGAGTCAGTGAAGTAGGTTGTTCCTTTAGGGTTTTCTTTTAGTTCTGACATCGACTAAAATGATTCTAAGAATTCAGTCAGCGTTAATTTTTTAGTTGCTGGGTTTTTTTGTTTGTTTTTTCTTAAGTGTTGCTTTATGCCACCACTGTGGGAGACACTTAATATATTTGTGCAGTTCATTTAAATCTCAAAATAACCCTCTCGAGTTCAATATTATCATTGTCATTTTTTAGATCAGGAGCTAAAGTCGTTATAGAATTAATCATAATTGTGATTATATGTGAGGTTATTGTTGAATGTCTATCTCCCCAACCAACCAAGAGCTGTGTCACAGCAGGGAATAAATCTATTCTGACCACCGTTGTAGCCCAACACCAAGCATAGCGCCTGGTGCATGATAGATTCTAAATTAATACATGTTGAATGAATGAATTAAAATAATTTGCCACAAGATTAAGTGGGATAGCCAAGGGTCAAACTCTTATCATTGGATTATAAAATCCAGTCTCTTGCCAACACTGCCTCTAGCATCAGCCTTCAGTTTTGTGGGCTGGGTACTTTTCAGTTTTAAGGTTCATATTTTCTTAGATGATCTGTGGATTATCTCATCAAAGTCCTTTACGGTACTTGTTAAAAACAGATTCCTAGACCCTATTCTATACCTGTTGCCACCAAAATACCTGAGAACCCACCCCCTCACAGAATATTAAAACCAAAATATTGTAGCTGCTTTGAAAAGGTAAGGCAGCTCAGCTACTGCATGCAATACTTTCTTCTGACTTCTTGTATGCATATTTATATAATCAGATTTTCAAATATGCTTCCAAAATGAATAATTCCATTGGATTTTATAAAAAATTTTTAGGTTCAAGCAACAGTAGTTGGTTTTCTAGCAGCTGTGGCAGCAGTTATACTGGGCTGGATTCCAGAGGGAAAATACTACCTGGATCATTCCATACTTCTGTGTTCTAGCAGTGTAGCAACTGCCTTCATTGCATCTCTTCTGCAAGGTAAGTACATTTACAAATGTCTACTCTACAGGCTTTTTTTTTACTTTCAAATGATTTATTTCCCAAAATGATGCCTATTTTTATTTATATGGTACTTGTTCATAATTTAAAAAACAAACAAACAAATTTTATGTACAAACTTTTAAAATATCTTATTTCAGGCATATTTATATTTATTACATGTAAACTTTAGTGTAGAACAGGCTTTCTGAGTTGTCTCCTGGCCTTAGGTACACGGGTACACTTCCCAAACAAGACCAGGAAAACAGCCAAAACCTTCATTTGTTTCTGTTCAGTTAGTTGCGAGAAACTCCTTTCCGGAAATCACGCAGAGGAGTCACTGGCTTGTCAGTTGAGTAACACGGATTCCAGGAACTCTGAATTCCAAAAGCAGTCTCTCTGTTAAAATGTTTTCAAGTTTCAGATTTCAAAAGCAATTCTTCACTATCTCTGTGGCAATACAAATAGAACCAGATGCTTAACACAGCATATTGTTGGATGTAGAATTTGAAAGAGCCAGAAGTTTTAAAAAATTAACTACATTAGAAATTTTCCATTGGGATATCATTTTTTTTGTATTTATTAATATCAACTTTACACTAGATTATGGAATCATAATCATAAAGACTTGGTTCTTTTTATTTTATAATTGCTATCTTCTTACCCTGTGTCACCAGTAAAGATAAAAATAGAAGATTCCTATGTTCAGTGATCATATAATGAAGCTAACTTTTTGGCTAGGTTCTTTCCCAGAATTTAGAGAATTTAATTATAATTAAGGCTTGATTTCTAAAATATTTACAAGCTTTTTGTTTTAGTACTTAAATTATATCCTGGGTAGTTTTTTATCTATACAGTCATGTGCTGTATAACGACATTTTGGTCAACGATGGACCACACATATGATGGTGGTCCCATAAGATTATGGGGCTGAAAATTCCTATTGCCTAGTGACATCAAAGGCATTGCAATGCCTCAGCACATGTCTGTGGTGATGCTGGTGTAAACAAACCTACTGCATTGCCAGTCATGTAAAAGTATAGCACATACAATGATGTACAGTACATAATACTTGATAATGATAATAATCAACTATGTTACTTGTTTATGTATTTACTATTGATCATTTTGGAGTGTATTCTACTTATAAAAAATTACTGTAAAATAGTACGATATGTTACGTGGGCAGCAGCCTTATATATCTCACGTTTACTGTGTCTCGACTGTATCATTTTCTCTTGTGCTGGGTTTAACCTCATGTTGTGTTGTATGGTAACATGATGTGCATTGCAGGCTTGTAGCCTAGGAGCAATAGGCTATATGATTTGGCCTAGGTGTGTATTAGGCTATATCATTTAGGTTTGTATAAGTGCCTTCTATGATGTTTGCACAATGACAAAATTGCCTAACCATGCATTTCTCAGATTGTATCTCTGTTGTTAAGCAGCTATGACTGTGTATAAAATTACTAGAATTGAATGGAGTCAACACTGGACAAAACAGTATGATGTAAAACTATTAGAAAATAAATTTCTGGTAAAAAAAAATGGTAAGGCATTAGCACTCACTCTATTTAGGCACATTTGCTTCTGTTTTCTTTCTAATTTTGTTTCTAGAGAATTGTTTTAAACAATTCAGTCTAGCAAATATTTGTATCGCCTAGAATTTTCAAAACCATAAAATTTCAGATTTTTAAAATACATTTGTTTAATGCTTCTTACTGTGAATAATATATGTTCTAATTTTATGATAACTTGACCTTCATAACCACCTTAATACACGTTTATATAGAGCAGATACTATTAACCACCATTTGAGGTGACAAAACTAACTCAAGTAAGGCGACTTGTCCAATTTCCTCAGCCTGTTCACAGAAAAATCATTTTTAAAACCTGTTTCCTGACTCCTAGCTCTTTCCATTGGTCTGTGATGGCAAAATTTTTTTTTCCAGCTGAAATTATATAAATAGCATTCAGTCATAGAACTTTCCATATCGATCTGCAAATGTTCTGATTTTGGAAAAAGAATTCTGTATGATCACATCTTGATTGATTGTTACATAATACATTTAAAAACCTCTTCTGCCATTGCTTTTTTTGTTCCTCAATGATACTATGGGAAAGGTAAGTCCATAGATCGAAAAAGGCTCCAGAATATGAGGTGCAAGACAATGTTTGAAGCAAGACGAAAATTTCACTTTTAATAAATTTTGGCTCTATGAGGTAGTAGAAAAAACACAGGACTGGAGTTCCTTCCAATCTGTGTGACCTCAGGCAAGAATTTAAACCCCTCTCAGGACCTCAGTTTTATTATCTGTAAAATGAGTTTGCTAGAATAAAATCACTTAGACTCATTTTCAGTCTAAAAATGCTGTGGGATTCTGTTTCTTTAATACTTATATTTTTAGGCTTCCATGCTGACTTTGATTAGCTCATCATTAAACTAATCTTAAATTGTCTCTCCACTGCATCCTCTTAATGAGTGTGTTGGCCTGAGAGAGAATCTATACAATTAGGTATGGATATAAGTTATTTTTCTCTCATTTCTATGATTCAGGAAAATAAGGATTTAAAGGTATAAGTACATAGCCACACTTTCACCTTCTATTCTTTTGTAGGTTTCTAGAGAGAAACTTTGGGTTTAGGGAGCATTTGAGATCTTGTTCCCTGCATATTTCATTAGTTTGGCTCAAATAAATTATTATTAAAAATTAAAAAAAAAATAAAAGCTTTGGGTTTAAAGAATATCCTTTACAGAGACAACTTCTCATGTTCTGGCCTGGTGTTCAAAACTTAATTACCTCTCTCCTCTTACTATTTCAGCACTTTTAAATAATAAAATGAAACAAGCATTTCTGGCTACCACTATGTAAACAAACCTGTTTTTATTGGTTTTCTGCCCAATTGCTATGCATATAAATATGACTTACCTTTCTTTGACATTTTCATTCTTTATTTGAGGGTTAAAATAAAATCTTTGACCTTGATAACACACAAATGCTACTAAACGACATACATGTTACTAAATTTGAAACTTGAGCTTTAGTGTCATTGTACAGTAGGGTTTCAGATCTCTAAATGCAACATTGCATTTCTCCAATCTTCTATGATTCCCCACTTGAATTTTCAATTTGTCAAAAGGCATTTTGCCAGAGCCTTAGCGTAAAATGTTTTGTTTGCTTTAGTCAGCTTATCGAAGCAGTCTAAGTCTAACTGGAACTGATATGCTGTGTGTTTAGCCTATATATTTCAGTGTTTAGGGGGATTGATAGTCTTTAAAATCATAGCTTAAAACTAATGAGCTTTCTTTCTTCTAGGAATAATAATGGTCGGGGTGATCGTTGGTTCAAAGAAGACTGGTATAAATCCTGACAATGTTGCTACACCCATCGCTGCTAGTTTTGGTGATCTTATAACTCTTGCCATATTAGCTTGGATAAGTCAGGGTTTGTACTCCTGCCTTGGTAAGTTGACGGGAAACTACACATGATGTGTTATTCAGAGCCTCTTTAAATAAATATTGTCACAGCAATGCTGTGACTCTGGTGTCCTTCATCCTTATTAGAATTGTGTTTGAGACTGGTTAGAACAATCACTGCCATTTGTTGTACACCTACTATGTGTTATGGTTCTCATATATTTTTTCTCACGTATTTTTTCTTTTCTTCATAGAGTTTAAAACTCTATAAGACAAGATTTATCATCTCTAATTTCAGATTAGAAAACTGAGGCTCTTACAGATTATGTATGTTACCCACTACTGGTGAGAAGTTGAGCACAGGTCTATCATATATTCTGTGACTTCTGCCCTTTCCTCTAAATGTGTAGCCAGCGAGGAGTCAACCTACAGTATTCTGATACAGGCATCGTACTCCTGTCCAGAACATAAGGTTAAGGTGGGGCTTAAACTGAGTAATTTTACCCCCATCAGAAACCAACATGGCAATTAACAAAAAGAAAAGAAAAATCACCATGAAAATAAATCTGAATGCTGTGTGACACTGGAGTCATCTTATACATGTGATTCCTGATAATAGTGACAGAGTATTTATAGAATCTAATGAATTGTTTCAATGCATATTTGTACTCTGGGGCTACTGTCAATGTAAGTAAATATGATTTGTGAGAATTGGTTTAGTGTTAAAAGTTGGGTGTGGTTCATTTTTTTAAGATGCCAAATTTTAAAAAAAATTAAAAGAAACTAGAAACCCAAGGATAAAAACAAGGATATTTGATAAGCCAAGCCAGAAGCATTTATTCACATATCCTCATATTTTCATGGATTTTATACTGAATCTAAAGTACATTTGGTTTGAAGAAGTTAAGAGTCTCAGATATGTGTTTTTGAACTAAAGAAAGAGCTTTAGCCTAACAAAGGCAGGAATTTTCTACTACGTTTGGAGATATAAAGGAAGGCTTCAGTTAGTATATAAAATTACTTTAATTATTTATTGAGTAGCATAAGAACAACATTCAATAAGACTTGATGTATATGTTCAAGGAATATTCTTCTCATTTAGAAGATAAGATGTTTCCACTTGAAGTAAAGTAGAAGATAATAAATAATCAATGGCCTAAATATAAGATGTTGTTCCCATAGGTCTTGGGTTTTTGTTGTTGTTGTGAAATGTACAGTGAAGGATGTAAATTCAAGTATATTCAGCATAATCCTCAATTTCTTTCTTAATAAAAAAAAAAAAACCAAAAAAACAGAAAATGAGAGATATGTTATTAAAGGGATAATCTGCTCTAATTTATATTCTTAAAGTGATAATTGGTCATACTTTTCGCCTCTGAATTACTGTACAATTCAGAAATTGATTTTGAAGTCCGGGATTGAACTATTAGCTTATGGCTAGTAGTAGAGAATGTGACTTAATGTTGTTCTCGTACTCTGTTAAACTTATTCACCCACTCCCAGGCACACAGCTGGACGACTTGTAGGCCTCACCCCTGCAGCTGCAGGCTGCTCACTATTGAGGAAGGGAGACTGTCGTCAGTAGTCTGGATCCCAGAAGAAAAAGGGATGAGTTACACATAGTCTAGTCTTACCAATTAGATAAGTCCCTCCCACTCTGAGGAGGAGGTAAGAGAGAAGAAGGAAGGAATAGAAGAGGGTGAAGGGTTTCTTCCTAATATTGTTAAGAGGACAGAAACCCTGTGGGTCTGGCCAGGAACATTGAGGATTCAGGTGGGATGGGGATAAAGGGATGGTAGTGGTTCTGAGTTGTGTTCCCTTAACTACATTAAAAAAAAGGGGGGGTATATTATTTGCAGACTTGGGTACTTAAATTACGATGCAGGCATTGGTAACATATTTCTTAGCTGCTTGCTAAATACCAGTGTCTCCTCAATTAAAGCTATAGTGGTAAGAAAGCGAATACCATTGAAGAATGTTATCATAATATGACAATGTTATAATGATACAGACCTAAGTAATATAGATTCCAGGAGATAAATCACTTTTGAGGAAAATAATGTGTGCTGACTTTTCAAAAATTATGCAAGTGATAAATGTTCCTTATAAAAGACTTAATCGTAATGTGTTACCATCTAAAGCTCTCAATTTTTGAGTGTTATATATGACACATTAGTAGCTTAAATGGATCAAGAAATAAAGTGAAATGGAATGATACCATCAGAGAGCATAATTTTGAAAAATAATTTTATTATTAAATATTGCTTAGGTTTTTCTGCACTTTTACCTGTCTTCTGAAAGTTGGCTCAAAATAATTGAAGATGAATTAATTAAAATAGGATCTTTTGCATTTCATCTGTATCATTTATCTCCCTAAAAGATTTTATTCTTAATGGGCTACTGCAATACTGTGATTTATAAGAAACAGATATTTGGTCATTCAGGTTAGAATATATTTCTCATATATATTTGGTCTTCGTCCAAGGTTCCTGGCTGACAGCTCCCCAAACCCTTGGAATTTTCTGAGTGATAAGAGCACTGGGAGCATCTTCTGTCATAATATTTTGTCATAATATCTTGTCCTCAGTTTCTGAAATTGCTTCAGAGCCATAAAGGTGAAACAGTATCTTGTTATTCATAACAAGCCCCTTCTCACCACAACTGGATTTATAGTAATGAGGTGACTTTTGGAAAACATCCAAGGATGGGGGCTGTTTGCCAGGGGAACCAACCAAGACTAGAAGGTTGGATCTTTCAGTGCCACCTGTGATGTCTGGAGAGGGGAGAGGGGCTGGAGGTTGGATCAATCACCAGTGGCCAATGGTTTAATCAACCATGTCTATATAATGAAGCCTCAAAAAAAAACCCAAAAGGACAGTGTTCGGAGAGCTTTATGGTTGCTGAACACGTGGAGACTCTGAGAGGGCATGGAAGTCCTTCACCCTTTCCCCATATCCTGCCCTGTGCATCGCTTCCATCTGGCTGTTTCTGAGTTAAATATATTTTTTATAATACACTGGTAATCTAGCAAGTAACATGTTTCTCTGAGTTGAGTTTTGTGAGCCACTCTAGCAAATTAAACCCAAGGAGGGGTTTGTGGGAACCTCTGATTTGTAGCCATTTGACCAGAAGCACAAGTGACAACCTGAGTTTGTGACTGGTATCCCAGCGGTGGCAGGGGGAACAGCCTTACAGGACTGAGCCCCTTAACCTGTGGAATCTGATGCTATCTCCCATATATAGTGTCACAATTGAGTTGAATGGTAGGACACCCAGCTAGTGCTGAAGAATTGCTTGGTGGTATGGGAACCCCCGTCCCTCCACCCCACACTAGAATTAGTACTAGAATCATAGCTACTGACTGATTCCATAGCTGATTGTAACAAAGGCTTTTCTGAAGTGTATTTGGATTTCTAAAGTGTCTGCATTGTGACCACTAGGGGGCCTCATAAAATCAGCAGTTGTAAGCCCAATATTAGTGGAATTCTGAATACAAAGATTCAGAGCCGGCACATTGAAATCCCAAGACCCCATTCATCCTGCTGAGATGCCTATCTTGAGCCATATTAGAAACACTTAGCAGCCTTTAGAGATACAAAGAGAATTTCATGGCAGCTGTAGGCTTTGGTTATAAATATAGGCCACGTTATTATATGGCTCTCAAAGAACTGGGCATTGAGAAAAGTCTAGCTTAACTCCTCACTTGGGATTTTGAATATTCAGAAATGACTTTGAACAGCTCCCCTCATGTCCGGTTAGCTTTGATACGTGTACCAAGATTCACTCCACATTCATTCAATGTGCTACTTGTACCTTTCTTTTAGTCCTGATAAAGTTTGCTGATTTCTAATATCTGAGGTAAATATGGATTTTTCCCTTCTCACCTCTCCAGCCCTCAAAAAAAAGAAAACAAAAAAAACCCCCAGACAAACCCAGAGCTTTCTTTACTCCTGTTGACTTTATTTTTTGGAGTCGCCCTGAGTAAATCTTTATTACTTAATGAACTTAAAGTTTTAGCCTGGTACTTGGGCCTCCTGCGGTCACCAGAAACTTACCTTGTCAAGGTCCCGCCTTCTCCCCTCTTTCTTATACCTTTTACTCCATCCAAACTCAGCCATTTACTGATTCTTATACAAGCTTGTGATTTTTCTCTTTTCTTTCTTATGGCATTCCCCTCCTCTCCTTGAAGTCTACCCAAAATCCTCTTTTTCAGTGCTAAATTGGTAGATTTCCCCAGTCTTAGGTGATGCTTTTCTCCTCTGAATTCCTGTAACACTTTATTGATAGTTATGCCATTCTTTACACCTGGGCAGTCATTATAGCTTTTTGAGTAAATGTAGCACCTTCTTTTATAAGGATATAAGCTTCTTGAGGACAAAACTGTTTTCATTTTATTTATTTATTGTTGTAGCACCCCATAGTGGATGTTAAGTGAATAGCACTTCACCAAATGCTCTATTAGAATACTTTTGAAAGCTACTTAATTAATGTGAGTAGAAGTTATGTAGGAAGTGGTATATGCATGAAAAATAGAAGATAGATATCCCTCCACATGATTTTTTTTGCCATAGTGTCTGTCCAATAACATAATAAATTATAACAAAACAGGAGCCTTTCAGTGAGGATTTAGTATTTGGGAAATATTGGAAAGGTACCTTGCCTTAGCGGGAAGTATCTAGAGATTAGTATCATTATAGAAAAATTAAAATGGCAACATGTGGCTAGAAAATATCTATTTTGAACGGAAATAGAAGAGGAAATAGAAACTTTAGAGAGTAATCTTAAGCTCTGGACTATAATACGCTTTGGTATGACTTGCAGACAGAGAAAATACAAAGGCATTTGTTCATTCATTCAGTAATCTTTCAACCTGTGGTAACCTGTAAGAGCTATTGAAAGGATCTAAAGCTGGGCCAGTAACTGAAATACCTGTGCACAACAATTGTTGCCCTTTCCTTCTTGCTTGCATAATTTTGAGAGGATTGTAAAAACTCTTTTTCAGCTGTTTTTAACTGCATGGCTGTATAATCCTTGTACGTGATCTTTATTGATTTGAAAATTATCAGCTTTTCCCTTTTTAGACAAGATCCTAGACGCAAAATGTTGATTGATTTCTCATTCTTCATGGTTAACTTTAAAAAGATGGCTTGGTTGAAGCTGTAAGAGCAGCAGCAAGCAGCCTCAGGTTGTTACTTCAGTTCTATGGAGACTAACAGCGGTGCCACCTGGTTCTTTACAGGACATTCTGGCATGTCACTGCCTTGATGTGGTGATGTGAGCAGAATCTAAATTTATTGTGCGTGCCTTTCTTCCTTTCTTCTTTATTGTTTTTCAGCACTGTACCATCTTAGTTTAGAGTGATCCCAGGTCAATTTAGTGAGAAAATTCTGATGGTAATTATAAGGGGCATTTTAAAAATTGTTTATGACTTAACTTACAATGCCCATTGCTTTGTTGTTCACACAGAAACAGCTAACATAGAAAGACACCACTCATAGCAGCCACATATTTAAGAAGAATTCAGGGTGGGAATAATGAAGGCTGTTAATGAAATTATGTAACAGTCATTGCAAAATGCCACCAACAATCTAATAAAAGGTGAAAGCTGTGAATGAAAAAGGTGGCAGCCGTGTTTGGCAGTTAAATGGAATCATAGCAATTTGAACTTCTTTAGCTGTATTAATCCTTACTTCTCTGTCGTTTACCTATATCATGGAATCAGTACCAATATACACAGGTATTAACTAGGCTTAAAATTCCACAGAGTTTTACTTATTCTCCTGTATTCATTTCCTATGGCTGCTGTAACAAATGATCACAAATCTTGTGGCTTAAAACAAGAAATATGAATTTTCTTGTCGTTCTGGAGACCAGAGTCCAAAATGCACTATACCGGGCTCAAATCAAAGTGTCAGCAGAGGTGGTCCCTCATAGAGGTTTCGGGGGGTAATCCATTCCTTCCTTCTTCCAGCTTCTGGGGGCTGCTAGCGTTCCTTGGCTTGTAGCCGCGTTACTCAGCCTCTGCGTCTGTGGTCACACTGCTTTCTCTTCTGTAGTCAAATCTCCCTCTACCTCCTGCCTGTAAGCACACCTCTGATTACGTTCAAGGCTCACCCAAATCATCCAGGGCAACCTCCCATTTCAGAATCCTTGACTATGAAAGCATTTTGCTGTATAAGGTCGCATTCACAGGTTTGGGGGACTAGGATGTGGATGTCTTTGAGGGCATTTTCAGCCTCCGACAGTACCCATTATGAAATACCCAGAAATTAATAAAAAATGTTATTTTGATTAGGATCACTTAAATGTATTTCATTTAGAAAGAAGGCATTCTCTTAGGTTTTGATATTAATGTAGAAGTTCATGGTGGGCTTTGAATTGACTATTTTCTCTTTCCGATTGCATCATTAATGGTTTTCTAAATGTAATTCTTTAATTTTATGACATCTGTAAAACACCAGTATACCCTAAACAGAGGAATGCTTTAGTACCTTCCCTTTTTCTGTATTTGTAATTTTTCCTTGGCTCTCAGAATTGGATTAGAAGTTAGCCAGGGAAAAGGCAGGAGGGCCCTATACAATTATATATAGGTTCTAATTTGGTGGGAATAGGTATGTTAGATTTGTTAGCAAATGGAAATAGAACACATTTACAGTAGATAATTTTAGAAACTTCTTTTATCATGGTTTCCCACTCTTTTTTAAATGTTTACATTTTTTTTAATTTAGAGATAATTTCAAAGTTATAGAATAGTTGCAAAAATAAAAATAGTACCAAAAAAACCCCTGTATACCCTGTACCCAGATTCACCTAATGTTAATATTTTACCCCATTTGCTTTATATCCCTTCTTTCTTTTTCTCTATGTATGCATATACATATGTATGCATCTATGTGTGTACAGTCTTTGTCTTTTATGACATTGACATTTTTGAAGAATATCATCTCCCCTCTTTTTTTATCATTGGGATTTTTAAAAATTGAGATATAATTCATATACCATACAATTCACCTTTTAAAAGTGTACAATTTAGTGAGTTTTTGTACAGTCACAAGATTGTGTAACCTATTATCTAATTCCATCTTTATTACCTCAAATAGAAACCTTTAGCGGTCACTCCCCGTTCCATCTGGCAACCGGTAATCTACTTTCTGTCTGTGTGGATTTGCCTGTTTTAGACATTTCAAAAAATGGAATCATATACCATGTGACCTTTTATGTCTGGCTTCTTTCAATTAGTATGTTTTTAAGGTGCATCTGTGTTGTAACATGAATCAGTACTGAATAACATTCCATTGTGTGGACTAATTATATGACTGAGTATGAATATGGATATATCACATTTTGTTTATTATTCACCATCTGATGGACATTTGGATTTCTTCCACTTTTCGGCTCTTATCAATGCTTCTGTGAACATTTCTGTACAAGTTTTTGCATGAACATATGTTTTCAATTCTCTTGGTATATAGCTGGGAGTGGTCTTGCTGGGCCATATGATAATTCTGTTTAAATTTTTGAGGAACTGCACACTCACTACTTTTAGTTTTTTTTTTTGTTTTTGTTTTTTTTCCTGAGAAAGTTTTCCTTCTCTTTGAAAACCCAGGACAATAATTCTGGGGTTGGGATGGTGGGTGTTTTTTCCAACTTGAGATGACCTTCCAGAGATTTAATGTTAAGAATAACTTAAAACCTGGCAAGGTGCTCCCCTCTTGACCTGAAAATGAAATATTGAAATGATCTAACCTAGCAGAGTAGTTCTTTTCATTTGTGTTTAATGGATTTTAATGCTTTTAGTTTTCTGTTTAATCCTATAGATTGTTGGCAACCTTAGTTGTTTTTGGAGGTAAGAATGCTTCCTAATTAAGATGTTATTTATCCTTATCCATGGTTTAAAAAGAAGAACTAGGAACCTATTTAATGTTTATGCCTTTTGAGCAGAGCTAGAGCAGACCTTACACGAGGGCTAGCTTTACTACTAAGACATGAGCCTTCTGGGGTCTACTGAATCTTCTCAGCGTTCAAAGAGACCTCTCCTCTCGCGGGGTTAGATCTTGAATGACTTCCAGCCCGTTGTAAACTCTGAGAATTTTTCAGCTTACAAATTCCCAATTATTCTTGGCCTAGCCTTGTGGAGTTTACCCTATGGATTGATATTCAGTTCTCAAACTCTTTCTTTGATAGCTTCCTCTTTTCCAGTATTCTACCCTATAAATTCCTGCTGGAGTTCTCTCTTCCTGAGCTGTGGCCTGGTATGTGTCTTTAGTCAGGAAGCTGAGGCTATTGTAGGGCTTATCTCATTTCTTTCCCTCCTCTCTGGGATTGCTGTCTTGCAATGCCTGCTGTCTAGTCTGAAAACAGTTATCTATCTATCTATCTATCTATCTATCTATCTATCTATCTATCTATCTATCTACCTCTCTATCTATCTATCTATCTATCTATCTATCTATCTATCTATCTAGTCTATCACCTATCTATCCATCCATCCATATATGAAAAATCTTCTAGTCATTTCTGAAAGCACTTAAAATTTTGTTCAGAGGAGGAATACATCATGTTTACAAAGCAAGACAAATAGCCAAGCCCGAAGTCAATGAGGCAGAGAAGTATACTTTTTCTATAGGAAAGCAACATGAGAATGGGGGGAGAATGAATAACTGTGATCAACACAATCTCCCACAGAGAGGTAGAACAAAGTCCTGGCAATCTGTTCCTCGGTGTGTCCCAAAGAGCAAGGTGTTAATAATAGTGGCAATGACTATGACGCTAGTAAGTGTCCAGGAAATGTTAGCTATGTGCCTGGGCGCTATTCTAGTTAACATGTATTAATTCTCTTAAGACTCACAATAGCCCCATTATGTAGGCACTATTATTGTTACTACTTTATAGACAAGGAAATTGAAGTTTATAGAAGTTAAATTTCTTGTCCAAGGTAAGTAGTAACACCACGATGTGAATGAAACTAGGTAGTCTGACCAGACGATGGTTAATACAGTGTACTGTATTCTGCCTTAGCGTGTTAAAGGCTCTGAGTACTTCTGCAGTGAAGAAATCTGTTTAACTTTATTAAAACGAGTTTTACAGGTTTTTTTTTTCTTGGAGCGTGGAATACTACATACTAATGGGGGGAAATCTATTATTAATAGGTTGGCCAGTATTCCATGGAATACTTATACTTTAAGATCCTTGTAGATAAAAACAATATGCTATTTGACATTAGAGTTTAGAGTTAAGTGCACTAACTTCAGTTAGATGTCATTTTCTCCCAACTCCTGCTGCATCTTAGCTGTGATCTTAATCTCCTAAGCCTCAGTTTCTTCATAAAATTGAAATGACAGTATCTACTTCAGACTTGTGAGGACAATTAATGAGATGATGAATAGAAAGCATTTAACACAGCTCTTGGTAAATAGTAGGAGCCAAATAAATATTAGCTTTTTTATAGTCGTTATTATTATTAATGCTATTCCTATCTAGGTCATATAGCTATTTCACTGAATGTTTGTTGAATTAATATATTAGTTTTCAGTTACATTATTTAATATTTTTACCTTGTCTATAGTTTTAACTTTGAAATTTTTAGAAAATATATAACATGAATATGTTTGAATACTTCATATTGCCTGGCAAACTTTTACTTTTAATATTTACATTTGTTAAAAGAGAGGTTGAAATGTTATCTTTTTTTCTTTTTTTTTTTAGAGACGTATTACTACATTTCTCCATTAGTTGGTGTCTTTTTCCTGGCTCTAACTCCTATCTGGATTATAATAGCTGCCAAACATCCAGCCACAAGGACAGTTCTCCACTCAGGCTGGGAGCCTGTCATAACAGCTATGGTTATAAGTAGGTTAGTATTAAAATGCGTGTGTGTGTGTATATGTGTGTGTGTTTGTGTTTGCCGTCCATATGCATGATCTATGTGTATATTAAAACAGATCAGTTACCTGTTTTTATTTCCTGGATCTATGATTTCACACCCAGTTCTATATTATCCCAGGTGACACGGGACATAAGTGACAGGAATGATTAAAGCGGTCAATGCACAGGGCCTCATTTGTTCCAATTTCAGACTTTTCTCCAAACGAATCCTTATCAGGTTGCAGAGTAAAATTTAGTGGTGTTTGTGTATGCATGTGACAAGAATATTACTTATTTTTAATAGTAAATTGCTCAGATGGGTATCCAGAAGCCTTAGAAACGTATAAACCGTTTGACTACTTCCACTTCTTCTAGGACTCTCACAGGACTTACGGATATAGTTAAGGATATATGCAGAAGATTTAGTTGCCAGGATCCTAATCACAGTGGAATTTTAAAAAAATTTTTATTGGGGAACAGTGTGTTTTTCCAGGACCCACCAGCTCCAAGTCAAGTAGTTGTTTCAATCTAGCTATGGAGGGCGCAGCTCAGTGGCCCATGTGGGGATCAAACCAGCAACCTTGGTGTTATGAGCACTGCTAACCGGTCAATCCCACAGTGGAATTTTTAATGAATGAAAAAGAGAGAAAACACCTTAGAGGCCTAGCAGTTAGGTATTGATCAAATAAAGTGTGGCATAGTCACAAAATGGAGTATCAGTCAGCCATTAAAAATTACATTGTAACATTTCAATTGGCATGGAAAGGTGTTCATTATACATTTGGTGAAAAGAGTAAGCTAGAAATGAGTGTGAATTTCCTGTTAAGTATGGTAGATCGACACACGTTTACCTTCTTTCCTGAAACTACTAAACTTACAGTAAAATAATGAAAAGTGATGAAACCACAAAGACAGGAGAGCACAGGGGTCAGCAGGTGTGAGAGTCAACAAATGGATGATTGTTAACTGAACCATCAGAATATAAAAAGCTAAAATATAAGCGCTTGCAGAGCGAGGGGGCACCCATAAGAAGTAAGCTGCTCTGAGCCCCAGAAACGCAGAAAGGTGGAGGAATTAGAAGCCCTGCTTCTGAAAGCTGAAATGAAGAAGATTGGTTGAGAGTTTATGTAATAAGCAATTAGATCCTCAAAGCCTTTCTCCAGCTTGCCCACCCGGGTGACTGCCCCCTTCCACCTTAGCAGAAGAGGAGCATTAACTCTGGAGGGGCTAAATCAGAGAGGCCCTAGATTCAGAATCCCCTGCACGAGTGAGGCTATGGATTAAGTACTGTGTGAAAAATTGGAGAATTAAGTGGAAGTCTACATGGTGAACAGTGGAAACCCTATCCCACTTCCTTTTCTTTGCTCGTAGACTGCTGGATAAAGTCTTTCTGAGGAAAGTCATCAGCATGACGACGTTAAAGCCTGCAGACATTGACCCTTGTGGGTCTTTTAGCGAAAGAGCTGCATGCCTACCTGGCCATTGTTCAGTGCGGCCCACCTGCTGCTAAGCTCTGCCCAGGTACACAGAGAGCTCCAAGGGTGCTTTGCAGTACCCCTTAAGGAGGAGCAGACTGTGACGGATCGCCAGACATTTGATTAAGTCTTCTAACATGGAAGACAGACAAAAAATATTAAAAAAGAAAAAAAGTTCTCAGAGCAAGTCCAGGGATAGTTGAAAAACCTCAAAAAATGATCACCAGTGTCCTCAGAGAAATAAGAGGAATGATGGCATTCACAAATTAAAGCATTGTGATCAGAATGCTTTAATAAGGAGGGTTTGAAAAACAGGAAGAGCTCTTAGGCATTTAAAAATATATAAATAGCAGAAACAAGAAATTTGGTAGTGAAGTTAGAGGATAGGGTTGAGGAACTCTCGGGGAAAGTAGAACAGAGAGCAAAGAGGTGGACGACTGGAGGCAAACAATTAGGAAAGGAAATTAGCAAAGAAATAACGCAAGAAAATTCCCCAGAACTGAGAACATGGGCTTCCAGATTGAAATGGCCCACTGAGGACCCAGCACCATGAATTGGCGTAGGAGGGACCCAAATCAAAGCACATAGTCATAAATCCCAGAATCCTCCAGAGAGAAAAAGAGTTACATATGAAAGACTGGGAAAGAGAATGATGTCAAATACCAACACTAGAAGTGAAGCCTTCAAAATTCAGAGGGAAAATCATTTTGAACATAAAATATAGGTCTCAGTGTCAACCAAATGTAAGGATAGATTCAAGAAGTTTTCAGACCTGCAGGATCTCAGAAAATTTACTTCCCATATACCCTTTCGTATAAAAGTTGATAGATACGGGAATGAGGAAATCCATTCCGTGACAGCGTGTGGTTCATTTCTCTGGAATGTAGATGGCTCTCTCCTGGAAGATTCAGGCAACAGGATCCTATGAAATTTTGGAACTCGGTTCATAGTCCATACACCAAGACCCAGCACAGGGAGATTACAGGTGGCAGCTGTGCACCAGGCCTAGAGAGCAGCTGTCCAGGTGGGCAGAGGACACTGGGCTTGAGGACGAATGACTCTTAAGAAAAACAGGAGTGGAATTGATGAGTTACCTGAAATGTCTTAAGAGGCCTTTCATGAAACTTGGTTCCAAATTTGAGGCTGAATTAGTAATAAGTAGCTGAAAAATTAAGAAAAACATGAGACAAAGCCAAAACTACCAGTGAAGAAATCTAATAACATACTTTGTGGCTCATTTGTGAATAATGATCCCATTGTTATAATAAAATCACCCTAAATATTTCACCAAAAAGTATAACCAGATTGGCAGAATGGGGGGGGGGAGAGGGGAAGGGAGTTCTGAAGAGACTAAAGTGGGGAGGGAAGGATAATCCAAACTAAATCGTCCACCTGCCATAGTGGAAGTCATTAGGTAAAAATTTGAAAATCAAGAAATAGTACTAAAAACGTGTTATTTAGAATTACAGAATTAAATGCCAGAAGAAACGGCTAAGGAAGATGAAAAGAATGCTAGTGGAAAGCAGGATCTGGGAGGTGGGATTAGGGACTATTTAATAAGTTTTGTGGTATTTTTACTTTGTACATGTTTGTTTGATTAAATTTAATTTGTTTTTAATTTTAAAAATATACATGTTTAAAAATGTTTAGGAAGCTGTATACCAGCATGCTAACAGTATAATTCTGAATGATATAACTATGCTTGATTTTTATTTTCTTTCTATTCTGATTTTTCTATAATAAGTTTTATTACCTGGGTAACAGAAATACTTTAAACTGTGTTGTGTCTGAGATTCATGTTATATCACAGCATGATCTTTGTGTTTTGGCAGAGAATTTTATTCTTTGACATATAACTAGTTTGTTTTATGCAACATTCGTTTTTAAAATTAGGCTTAAAATATTGAAGTATTTCTAAGGATGACTATTTTTGGACTTTATAGTATACCATTTAATGGGAACTCCTGGAGTTTCAGGCATATTGCATTTATTTTACTAAAGAATTGACTTCATGAAGATTTAATAATTTCCTAATGTTAACTACCAGGTAGTGGTAAGAACGTTTAATCTGATATTTTGACCATAAATTCCACTCTGTGATAACATATAATTCATTTTTCTGTAATGTGGATTGCATTTTCCTGGAAGACTCAGGCAAAAGGATCCCATGGGATATTCGGACTGGCAATGTTTTACATTATGTAGATCAGCGGTTCTCAACCTGTGGATGGCGACCCAGGTCGAACGACCCTTTCACAGGGGTTGCCGGGTACTCGTATGTGGGCGTGTCTGCATGTGGGCCTGGAGACGGATAGAGGAGCGGTGTCTCAGTTCCTAAGACCGTCGAAAATATGTGTTTTCTGATGGTCTTAGGCGACCTCTGTGAAAGGTTGAGAACCGCTGAATTGTAGATCAAGAGACTGAGGTTAACCAATTGGTAATGGTCTTTGAAACTAAAAAAAAAAAAAAAATCTCCAAGCTCCCCTGAGACATGGGGAGTGTATGGCTTGCCACTGTGTAACTGTATGTTATTTTTCCCTTCCTCTGTTCTCAAGATCTGCTCTTTCTATGGCTACAACTCATTGTTTTTCTTTACTAGTGATAAGACACACCCTAATTGTATCTAGTTTTAGTATGATAAAAAAATCATACATTGAATGTCTTGTTTACTTCAAATATGAAAAAAAAATGCTCTTTTAAAAATTCTAAGTTATAAGAGCAATAAATGCACATGGTTTTAAAGAATTAATAAGTACAGAAGGATATAAAATGATCATTATTCTCCTGTCAGTTTCACCCCATAGAGATAGATATTGTTAATAATTTCTTATATGTCCTTCCAGACATTTTAATGTACTTAAAGTACTGTATGCTTTTCCTTTTTACAAGTAGCACATCTTGGAGATGAGAAAGAGAGCCCTGAAATGTGGGGCTACCACTTATGCAGTATTTTATTTTCAACATTTTGCTGTTGACGATTTTTACTTTGAATATTTGTTATTCTATTAATGTCTAAATTGTTTTTTTCGCTTTCTTTTTTAATTAAGTTTATTGGGGTGATATTGGTTAGTTAAATTATATAGGTTTTAAGTGTACAATTCTATAATACATCATCTATACATTGCATTGTATGTTCACCACCCAGTGTCAGTTTTCACCATATATTTGATCCCCTAATCCCTTCACCTTCTTCACCCCCCCGCCGAAGCCCCTTACCCTTTGGTAACCACTAAACTGTTCTCTGTGCCTATGAGTTTTTGTTTCTTTCTTTGTTTGTCTTGTTCCTTTGTTGCTTTCAGTTTTATATCCCACATATGAGTGAAGTCATATGGTTCTTGACTTTTTCTGTCTTATTTCGCTTAGCATAAATAACCTCAAGATCCATCCATGTTGTCGCAAATGGTATATTTCATCTTATGGCTGAGTAGTATTCCATTGGGTATATGTACCACATCTTCTTTATCCAATCATCTATCAAAAAGTAGGATGTTTTGTATGTAAAGAACAGCTTCAAATTAGTACATTTATTTCCTCTTTCCTAAGTTGTATGATTTGTGTCTTTCAGCATTGGAGGCCTTATTCTGGACACAACTGTATCTGATCCAAACTTGGTTGGAATTGTTGTTTACACACCAGTTATTAATGGTAAGAATTAGATGTACAGTTTCATAATGATATCAAACCTTCTTCATATATTATTAGGTGCTGATGGGAATCTTAGGGTTCAGATTTTAAGAGGTCTATATTCCCATCCCATCCGTTCTCTCTCCAGCCTCAGGTGACTATTTACAGTGGAAATGACATTCCCTGTTCTCAGTACGCAGAACACACCTTTAAAAAGAACTAATTCTTAATATTATTACTAGATATTAGTTTGAGCATCAGGCTTCCTCGTTTTTAAGATTAGTGTGGCAAAACAAGGTGTTTCAGTTCTGGATACTTTGGGTTTATGTGCTGTCTTACGTTGTTTTGGTCCTGCTTCTGTCAATTTTTGTGGATAATTAGAGTTAACAATGTTTAAGCGTTGCTTGAGTCAATTCAGTCCATTAAAATCTTTCACTCCTCTCCTGATTCCTTTAAAATCTGCTTTATGTTTTTGCTTATCTATAAAATGGGAATTATAGTACTTAAGTTCACAGGGATTTTTATATGAATTCTGTTTAATAAGATAATTTTAATCCAGTCCTAATGGCTTTTGGGATGGCTGTCATTAAAATTGGATTTTAGTATAGTCTAAACCAATATAATTTAAAAAGTAATTCTACCTTGGGGAAAAAACATGTCACAGGATATACTGCACATAAATTGCTTTTGCAGTTATGTATAAGAAAACCTGTTATATAATGGCAAGTTCTCCAAAATCTAATTTTATATCTAAAATTTCTACTGAACAGTAAAATTTTGCATTACCTTTAGAATATCCATGCACAAATTTCTCCTACAGACCCCCCTCCCAATTTTCCTGGTGCCCCGATTCTCCCCACTCTTAAAATCATGGCACCATCTGATTCAACCTGGTCCTTCATCCTCCTTTGAATAAATAATGACCAGACCTTGTCTATTTGCCCTTTAACATAATTCACTTGTTCATTTATTTATATAACCTGCATGTCTCACCATTGTAGTCTGCTAATGTCTCACTTTAGCCATCATTCAAGTAATAAAGTAGTCTTCCTGACTTAGTCCCTATTCAATGCAAATTAAATATCACTAACAGACTGGTCGTCCTTCAACTTTGTTTTTATTACATCAATCCATCTTAAGATAATGAACTTAAACAGTGGTTTCCTCCTGGCTGTTGAATCAAGTTTGAATTCTTCTGCCTAGCTTTCAAGGCTCGCTATACACTGTTGGATGCGTGCAACATTTTCCTTTATCATTCTAACCAGATTCTTATATTGTGGTTCTGCAAAATTCTATTTTTCACTGCCTGGACTGATTACTGCTTTTCTTCTACCTGTTCAAGTCCTCCTCAGTGGATATTAGTTGATGAATTAACTAGGGTAAATATTCTCCAATAATGACTGTTAGAGCTGTATTGTCCAACATTTCAGTGAGAAATTTAAATTACAACAATCCCATTATAAATAAGGTTTTAATGAGTTCCTATACTAATTATGTTGTTTACATTACAGTTTTATTCACCTTACCTGGAAAAATTATACCAGTCCTTTTCTAAAGTCTCAATTCATTTTATTTTTAGTTTGGTGTATTTTTAGTTTGGTGCAGTTTTGTTTTTTTTAAATTGGGGGATTGGGGAAGGGGAATAGTGTTGGGGAATTGGGGAGGGGGACCAGCCAGGTTGTTTTTTAGTCTTAGTTGTGGAGGGTGCCAGTCGCCTTCTGGCTGCCTGTTGGCAAATCGTGGCCTCTAATCTCAAGGTGCTGTGTTACAATCTTAGTTGCAGGTGGGCATAACCACCATCCCATGTGGGAGTCGAACCCAGCAGCCTTGTTGTTAAGAGCGCACACTCTAACCACTGAGCCATGCAGGGCAGCAGCTCAGCTCAAGGTGCCGAATTCAGTCTTAGTTGCAAGTGGGCATAGCCCACCATCTAACAGGCAGTCTTGTTGTTAGGGGCACGTGCTGTTACCAGCTGAGCCATCCTGCCACCTGTTGGCAGCTCAGCAACAGCTCAGCTCAGGCGCAGCGTCACTGGCCCATGTGGGAATCGAACCAGCAGCCCTGTTGCTCAGAGCTCGCGCTCTTAAGCTAACTCTTAACCAACTGACCCACTCAACTGGCCCAGTTTGATGCAGTTTTAACACCAGTTGTGTCTGTGTTTCCTAGATTGCTGAATGAGGCAGATCAGAAAATGTAGGGAAGAGGAAAATGTTAAGTTGATCATTTGTAAGGGTTTATTTGTATTGATAATCACATGTGCTAGCCTGGACATGGTAACAAAGAAATGATAAAAGTGTTCTATAAAGTTCTACCAATGTGGTTATTTAGAAGAGAACTACAACTAATCATTAATAGTCTTTTGTTTCAAATTCAATCCAAAGAAAGTTACACATAGTGTAGATAATCTTGGGTTTAATAGCTCATGCTTTCTGAATTTGCATTGAAGCATTCTATATCTAATAAAATACCAAATAGAACATTACCCCCAAGAGAATCTCCGGAATATGTGAACATGAAAAGGAAACTACCATTTATGCTTTCCTATGGCAAATATCTGGCATTGAAAAATGTACCTGAATGCCATCTTTTGCTTTGCATTAAGTAGTGTAATTCTTAACATTCGAGTCTTCTCCTTTTGGGGGCTATGAAGAGAACTCCATGGATGATTATAAGCTGTTCTTAGTGGTTTAATCAATAACTCTTTGTGAAGTGCCTGTATAGTATAAAGGCTCTCAACCTCCTTCAGTTTCTAGGAAATGTTAATTTACTTCCAGTTATAGGTATGTTACTGGCCTTGTTTATGTTTTATTATCAGATGATAATTTATTACCAAAACATGCCAGTTATTCAGTGTTCTCTTCCAGTTGTTTACTTCACAAAGTGAGCTCAGATTTAGAAAATCCAGATTTTAAAAGTAGGCATCACTAACTTCTAATGGAAAATTCATTGAGTAAACAGAAGGCAGATTAAATGATTATTTAAAATATGGACACCAAGTGGTTTATTCTTTCTGGTTTTTTTTTTAAACAAAATATGTGAATTGGAAAGAAACACAGTTCCTGCACATTCTCTGACTAATGAATTCTCCAGCAAGTGTCCTGACTTACAATTAAGAAAATACCAAGTCAGAATCACATTATCTGTACAAATTGTTTCATCATCATCGTTTGTCAACATTTGTTGAGCTTTTACCAGGTCCAGAGACTGTTAACGGTCTTTCCTGTATGCCTTATTTTATTTAATTCTACCTCTTGTGAGTTAGATATAAATTGTCCTCATTTTTCAAATTGAAAAACTAAGCTCCAAGAGGTTAAACACCACTGAAGTCACAAAAGTGTCTGAGGCCGTTTTCAAACCCCTGTGGTCCGAGCCAGAGTCAACGCCGCAGAGAACAGAGCTCAGCATTTAAGTGCCTTAATTATGCAACCTACTCAATGTGACTTTGTTTCCCTTTCAAACACGCTTTTAAAGAAATTTATTTTCCTTTAGAAAAATTTTCAGAACTCCCTGAAGTGGATTTTTAAAACATTTTTAAGATAAACTGCATTTTTTTTTAAAGATTTTTATTGGGGAACAGTGTGTTTTTCCAGGACCCACCAGCTCCAAGTCAAGTAGTTGTTTCAATCTAGCTATGGAGGGCGCAGCTCAGTGGCCCATGTGGGGATCAAACCAGCAACCTTGGTGTTATGAGCACTGCTAACCGGTCAATCCCACAGTGGAATTTTTAATGAATGAAAAAGAGAGAAAACACCTTAGAGGCCTAGCAGTTAGGTATTGATCAAATAAAGTGTGGCATAGTCACAAAATGGAGTATCAGTCAGCCATTAAAAATTACATTGTAACATTTCAATTGGCATGGAAAGGTGTTCATTATACATTTGGTGAAAAGAGTAAGCTAGAAATGAGTGTGAATTTCCTGTTAAGTATGGTAGATCGACACACGTTTACCTTCTTTCCTGAAACTACTAAACTTACAGTAAAATAATGAAAAGTGATGAAACCACAAAGACAGGAGAGCACAGGGGTCAGCAGGTGTGAGAGTCAACAAATGGATGATTGTTAACTGAACCATCAGAATATAAAAAGCTAAAATATAAGCGCTTGCAGAGCGAGGGGGCACCCATAAGAAGTAAGCTGCTCTGAGCCCCAGAAACGCAGAAAGGTGGAGGAATTAGAAGCCCTGCTTCTGAAAGCTGAAATGAAGAAGATTGGTTGAGAGTTTATGTAATAAGCAATTAGATCCTCAAAGCCTTTCTCCAGCTTGCCCACCCGGGTGACTGCCCCCTTCCACCTTAGCAGAAGAGGAGCATTAACTCTGGAGGGGCTAAATCAGAGAGGCCCTAGATTCAGAATCCCCTGCACGAGTGAGGCTATGGATTAAGTACTGTGTGAAAAATTGGAGAATTAAGTGGAAGTCTACATGGTGAACAGTGGAAACCCTATCCCACTTCCTTTTCTTTGCTCGTAGACTGCTGGATAAAGTCTTTCTGAGGAAAGTCATCAGCATGACGATGTTAAAGCCTGCAGACATTGACCCTTGTGGGTCTTTTAGCGAAAGAGCTGCATGCCTACCTGGCCATTGTTCAGTGCGGCCCACCTGCTGCTAAGCTCTGCCCAGGTACACAGAGAGCTCCAAGGGTGCTTTGCAGTACCCCTTAAGGAGGAGCAGACTGTGACGGATCGCCAGACATTTGATTAAGTCTTCTAACATGGAAGACAGACAAAAAATATTAAAAAAGAAAAAAAGTTCTCAGAGCAAGTCCAGGGATAGTTGAAAAACCTCAAAAAATGATCACCAGTGTCCTCAGAGAAATAAGAGGAATGATGGCATTCACAAATTAAAGCATTGTGATCAGAATGCTTTAATAAGGAGGGTTTGAAAAACAGGAAGAGCTCTTAGGCATTTAAAAATATATAAATAGCAGAAACAAGAAATTTGGTAGTGAAGTTAGAGGATAGGGTTGAGGAACTCTCGGGGAAAGTAGAACAGAGAGCAAAGAGGTGGACGACTGGAGGCAAAC